GGTGATGTTTATTAATCTTTAAAATGATTTGCTGTTTCTATTGCATACTATTATATAATTATTATAACTTTATTTTGGAAACGACGCTTTTGAAACAGCGGACACGCTCTTGCAGTGTGTTTATAAAAGTAACATACTGTACAGCCATAATACAATATTAAAATAGAGGTGAGACTTTTAATACAATAAAATTTACGACAATTACACAAGTTGAATATATCACAGATCCTGTATATCATTTAACACTTACAATTTATAACATTTACAGCAAAGCACAGTTTATATATTGCGGCCAACTGACCTATACTATTTTAATATTTATAAATAATAATAATCAAATTAATAACATAAGATTTGTATAGGGCTCGCTCATATTCAAATTTAAATCTGTCTCTTATACACATCTAGATGTGTATAAGAGACAGCTATAAAACGAAGACCCTTGAAAATTTCACAGACGCCCAAAAAATTTCGTAATTTTGATTTTGTAACAGCCTGGCGTATTTGTCATCAAAATAAAAGAGAAAATTTAGGGGTCTTCGTTTTTGGGTCTTCGGTCTTTGTTTTATAGACACGTCGTTGGTGTATTGCTAAACCCCACAAACCTCCAAAAAAAACACCGCAAACCCCATCCAAACCCTGTGATAAGGATTGAATCCATAGTATACTACTCAACTTGGTATCTCAATAAAAAAAAATCATAATTTTATGTTCGTCACAAACTATTTTTGGGGTAAAAAGGCCAATTTTGTATAAAAAAATTGCTAAACCCCGTAATAATTTATCGATCCCTATCGATTTAACCTATTGCATCAAGAAAAATATCCAACTACTCAATATTTTTGAAATATAGGCCTAATAATGTATTGATTATATCTTCGATTTTCTTGTATGGTATAGGCCTGTGTTGCTTGTATATTAATATATAAGAGAGTGGGGAAAATTGGGATACCTATTCACCAGAAAAGTGTTCTGTGCTCTTGAAAACTTGTGTTCAAATCTAGGCTTAGCTATTAATTTCAAATGTGCGTATAGGGCCTAGGCCTACCTTACCTAGGCCTACCTTACCCCTAGGCCTAGTCTCTAGAGCTAAGATCACACAGAGACGGACAGAAGACGCTACAGGCTACAGCCACACTCTTACTTATCCCCACAAACATATGGATCAGAAAAACACTTTTACATGCCTCCTCTTCTATTGACTTCAACTCAGCCTTTAACACAATACAGCCTCACATTCTCATCTCCAAACTCATAAACATGAACATAAACCCATCTACAGTGTATCATCAGTGGCGGATCCAGGGTGAGGGTTCCAGGGGTTCGGACGAACCCCCCACTGTGAAGAAAGGAGGGAGAGGACCTTGAATTTTGAAGCTTTAAGGTCATTACTAAGACTCCTCAGAAGTCGGAAAAGCTCATTTCCGGCCATCTAGAAATCAAAACCTTCCCGGTTTTTTTGGAAACATTTTGAACCCCCCTCTTTTAAATCCTGGATCCACCCCTGATCATTCTGTGGATTAAGAACTTCCTCACAAACAGATCACAAGAAGTTAAAATTGGCAATTCAACATCGACAACTATGATCAAGAACAAACACCAGATCACCCCAAGGCTGCATTCTTTCACCCCTTTTATGACATCCTGTATACCAATGACTGTAGAAATAATACCGATTGTTGTCGTCTACTAAAATATGCTGATGATACTTGCAATAGCCGGATATATTAAGGATGCCGCTTCACTCTCAAAATATTTTACCGAAATTCAGTTATTTACTGAGTGGTGTAAAGGACAATCATCTTGTATTAAATTCGAAAAAAAATGAAATAAATCATTATTTATTGACTTCAGAAAGAAATCAGATAATCATGAAGATGTTATAATTAATAGAGAATGATGTTTAGAAGTTGTGAAAGATTATAAATACCTAAGGTACTCTTATAGATGATAAGTTAAAGTGGAGTAAAAACACAAATCTGTTGTACTTGATGTGTCAACTTATCAAATTCAAAGTGATAAGATGATAAAATGCTATGTTCTACAAATCGATGGTACTTAGCGTAATATCTTTCTGTTACATCGTATTAGGAAGCAGCCTTAGTGTTATAGATAAAGAAAAACTTCATAAAATTGTACAAAAATCTTGTATTATGCTTAACCAGTGGCAGATCCAGGGGGGGGGATCAAGGGGTTCGGACGAACCCCCCTCTGTGAAGAAACGTAACAAAATATATAGACTGGGTCCTGGCTTACAAAAGACATGCTCACCTACCTAGGCATAAGTTGGCAGATCAGACAAATACTAGGCTTAGCTCAACGAGTGTCTATTATACGAATATTGAAGACCCAAAAACGTACTGTATTTTGATGATAATACGCCAGTCTGTCACAAAATCAAAATTAAGAAATTTTTTGGGCGTCTGTTTGTGAAATTTTTAAGGGTCTTCGTTTTGTAGACACCCTATATGGGTGTCTACAAAACGAAGACCCGCAAAATGAAGACCCACATTTTTTATTCTCTCAATCGTGATAAAATAATGAAATAGGTACTTGGCAATTGTTTTATGATATTTTGAAATACTTTCAATACGATATTGAGAAATAATTGGAGGTCATCTTTTTTTGGGTCTTCGGTCTTCGTTTTGTAGACACCCATATAGGATGTCTACAAAACGAAGACCCTTGAAAATTTCACAGACGCCCAAAAAATTTCGTAATTTTGATTTTGTAACAGCCTGGTGTGATAAGGATTGAATCCATAGTATAGGACTCAACTTGGTATCTCAATAAAAAAAAAATCATAATTTTATGTTCGTCACAAACTATTTTTGGGGTAAAAAGGCCAATTTTGTATAAAAAAATTGCTAAACCCCGTAATAATTTATCGATCCCTATCGATTTAACCTATTGCATCAAGAAAAATATCCAACTACTCAATATTTTTGAAATATAGGCCTAATAATGTATTGATTATATCTTCGATTTTCTTGTATGGTATAGGCCTAAGAATGAGATAAAATCACCTGACCTTTTTTTAAGAGGGGTACTGTAAAACCTAGAATTTTGAAGAAATTAAAGGTCATTAAAAGACACCTCAGAAGTCCCCCCCCACCTTTCATTCTCAGGTTTCTGGGGGAAATTTCGAACCTCCCTCTTTCAAATCCTTGATCCGCCCCTGTTTAACGTTCCTTTTTTTTTTCATTTCATTTCATTTGTTCGTCTCAAAATACAATTCACATAAAATATCATATACTAAGAAGACGGACAGACAGGAAATCCAAAAAGAGAACTAAATCAACTGTCAAGTGGATTGCCTAACAAAAAGACAGAGACAACAGATATCAAAATTAGCCCTTAAAATAATCTCTTAAGGCTTTATAAAAATATTTAAAAATTTAAAATAAGTTTATCACGCATATTAGTCGGCAAATCATTCCAAAGACGGGGATAATAATTACTTACAGTTAGCATTTTTGAAACAGTCAGTCCTGGCAAAGTTATGAATAAATTTGAAATCACTTAATTCACTTTTTACTGATCTCGATTTTAAATTTTTATGAATCAGTTATTGTGCTAGTTAAACAAATCATGTCAAACATCAACCATCCTTTGTCCATAGAGTACAACTTTTTATGGTCTCTATGTTGTTTACGGAGTATTTACTCAAGAACAACTAGATACAATAAGTTGTTTGTCCCAAGTTAAATTCCTATTTTAATAAATCTTGCAGCCGTTAAAGAACCTTTTAAAAATTTAAAATTTTAAAATTTCTAAAATTTTTAACTGTTTTTCCTTTGATGGTGCCTTTAAATTTAAAAAAATTTTTAAACTCGGGTGATTCTAAATTTAAAAAATTAAAATCTATTTTTACACGAGGTTTTAAATGTAGGCTTTAACTTTTTAGATGCTTTTTAAATTTTTATGACTTTTTAAATTATTATATTGAATATGGTCCTTTTATTTGCAATGGTTTTTTTGTGTGTTCGACCTTTTGTATTTTCTGTGTGTTAGACTTTTTATTATAAACATTTTTGCAATTTTACCTAGTGTATCAAACAAGAAATTTCCAATTCAATTGTATGTTTTATATAATTTGGACAATAAAAGTTTTTAAATTTGAATTTTAAATTTGAATGCTGTTTTGGTACATGTCATTGCTGTTTTGGTCTGTTGTCGTTGCCGTTTTGGTTCATTGCCGTTTTGGTTATTGATGTTTTAGTCACTACCGTTTTGGCTTATTGCCGTTTTGACCTGCTACCATCGAAATATCGTTTCCCAACACAATGGCCTACATTTCAATATTTGGAGTATGTATATACTTTGTTACCTAACATAAGCCCCTCTCCCACTAGGGGTTTTTTCAGCATACGAGTTACAAGAGAATGCCGAGTTGTTAACTCGGCAAACTCGCGAAAAACTCGTAGGATGATTCGGAAAGCTTGGAGAGGACTCTTACCTACTCGTAGCAGCTCTGAACTCGTGGCGCTAATTTTGAACATGTTCAAAATTATCGCCACTAGTAGATAACTCGTAGTAAACTCGAAGAACTCATAGGTAGCTTGTAGAGTACTCGGGGTACTCCTACCTAGCTCGTACACTACTCTGTATACTCGTCGGCGGTTTTGTCATCTACGAGTTTGATGCGAGCACCCAAAAACGAGTACGAGTAAGTACGAGCGCACCGAGTTGGCTGGTACCTAACTCGTATCTAATTCGGTACAAACTTGTTACCTTCTTAATAATCTCGTAGTTAACTCGGTGCTCTGCTCAGCAAAGTTCGTACATAACTCGTAACCAACTCCATAAAGTCGTACCCCACTCGTAGCTAACACGTAATAAGCTCGTATAGGTCCTTTCCAAAGATCACGAGTTTTAACTCGTAGAAATCGTACGACTCTTAATAGGTGAAATAAACCTAGGTGGGAGAGGGGCTATACACAGTAACTTTGCTAGAATACTTTTAGCCATAGCGTTCAAAAAATGACCTAGTCTATGCCTAATTCAATCCTAAATTGTTGTTAAACACCTACAGTATGTTGCCCATGCTATGTATGCTGATATTCAAGTATATTTTATTTGTAATTGAACTTACATATATACTCTTTTTCCTCAGGTTTATTTACATTACTTGTAGAAGAATTTGGTAAGATTTATCTCATTTTGTTTTGTACTTTATCTTAACTGGATGTCTGATTTATTTCTACCATTCAGATCAAAAAACACATGCTATGTTGCCAAGAAAATCTTGAAGTAGAGGGCCAGCTTGTATGATGTTCAAAAGGCATATATTCCACATTTCCGATTCGATCAGGAATCTCCTGGTCCCCAAATTTTGTTAAACTCTCCCAAATTTTCAGAAAAGAAATTCAAGTATTTCTGTGTTGATTTTTCCTTTGTGTGTAGACTATCAACAATGTCAGCATCAAAAATCTTCATTAGTAGTATTGCTGACACTTAAACAGATGAGAGTGCATCCATGAAAAAACTTTTCTTTTACAAAATTTTGGGGGTGGAGCCACACTTCATTAGCATCTATCCAGTCTCCCAAATTTCCAGTCTCCCAAATGTCATTATTCTTCTAAGGTCATGCCACCTTTTACCTTATCACCAAGCCTTAGAAAAGGTAATAATAATGAAAAAATATTTAATGAAATTTCGGCCTTACAACCAAATTGTTGCCTGAACCAACTTAAAAAGGATGCTAAAACTAAACTTGACATGCAATCGTATTGGAATCTCAATGTGAGGGGGCTTCTTGTCCAGGGACGCTTTTATGAACTTCTCGCCCTCCAAAATTCATCAACCCATTGGAAAAGCATCGCTTTCAATCTCCCACATAGAGTTCTTAAATTCATGGTCAATGCTTTCGGTGACACTCTCAATAATAGGGGTTAATCTGAAAAGATGGGGTATGAAAATTTCTGAGAACTGTAAGGCTTGCAGGAATCGGGTTACTCTCCATCATATCCTAAACTTCTGTAAGCGATCCCTGGACCAGGGCCGTCTCACATGGAGACATAATAATATTTTAAACTATATAGTCAAAATTGCTAATGAGGGCCTTGGAGCCCTCCCAGTTCCTCCGGATATTCGTTCTGACCTTGTTTCCAGAACCCATGATGTCCCCCATTTCACCACCATTCCTGTTGAGTGTTCCCCAACAAATTTTATTCCAGATCTTTGCATTTTTTGGAAGAACCTCAAGAAACTTCTTATTTTCGAATTGACTGTTGAAACCGGCACACACATTCAAAACAAACAAGAATTCCCCCCTAACTTTGGACATCATGGAATCTGGTTATACGGTCGAACTCATTGCTTTTTGAAGTTGGAGTTAGTTGATAAGAAAAAAAGTAAACCATTACACTAAATAATATATTTAACAATAGTATTGTAACTACCTTTCTTGATTTTTAATGTATTTACTTTGTATGTTGAATCTAGACCTCTAGGGAGACTTGCACTTTATTGAAAGAGTACTTCCAGAAGAAATAAAAGATTGGATTTGATTGATTTGATTTGAAGAAGTATTGTTTATTGAGTCTATGTTACAACTTTTGTATTAATCAGATGCAAAACAACATTCTTCAATAGACAAATGTGATCAACAAACCCAGAAAATGTTTTTATTCAATGTTGTTTTCTTTTTTGTTGATCCAAAATACTGCTGAAGTGTTTACTTTCACTGGAATTTTTTTTTTTTTAAAACACATCAAATTCAACATTCAAGACTACTGATGATATTTTTTTAAACATATTGCAGGTGTTAAAGGTGTACAGGTGGAAGAAATTTACGACCTTCAGAAGTCAATTGAGGGACCTGTGTATGGCTTTATTTTCCTTTTTAAATGGATTGAAGAAAGACGAGCCCGACGAAAAATCCAGCCATCCTCAAGTGAGGTTCCTGTTGAAGATGATGGAATCGTTAACAACATGTTCTTTGCTCAACAGGTAGTTTTATTCTATTCTATTTTTTATGTGTTTCCATAAATTTATTCAGACAAATATTCAGTAGATTTTCTGTAATTTTCTCAAAATACAAGGGACAAAAGTCTTCAAAAAACTGTACGTTTTAATAACACTGAAAAAGTGGACTAGTTCATATAGGACAATATAGGCCTACAAATAAACATACTCTAGACAAACCTATGATTAACTGTCATAGTTGTCTTCTCAGCTAATTATTGTAAAATGAATTAGTCATTTGCCAATAATAGGCAAACTTCCTTACAAGATTGACTGTGAATCTGTCCTTTATCATATGATACAATGCAGTTAGACTACAGCTTACATTGTGCAAGTCAATGATAGGTCAAACAAATAAGTCCCAAGTTACTTGTTGTACTCAAATTATTTTTCTGTATTTTTATAATTCAACCTAATAGGACATATATTGTATATTATATTGGTTAGAGTTAAATTTTGAATTAAACCTTACTTTTTTTTTACAGATTGTTCCCAACTCCTGCGCTACTCATGCTCTTTTGAGTGTGTTATTAAATTGCCCTATCTTGTCATTGGGACAAATGCTCACACAGTTGAAAGAATATACCCGGAATTTTAGCCCTGAGGTATGTTAATAATTACACTAAATTCAGTGGTGATGTCATCACTTCCATTTGCACTAAAAACTCCAAATTTTTGCATCTTGTGTGCGAAAAGCTCAAAACTGGGGTGATTTTACTACAGGGTACATCACGATGAAATATTTCATTGCTAGGCCAAGCTATGAACGCACACAACAAACCTAACAAATCTCGCTTTATGGCACTGTCTAACACAAATGAAGCCTTGACTGTCTAGGCAAGGCCTGGAAAGGCATAATGGTGATTGACTTTATAAAAGAGCTGAAAAAAAATATGCTAAAATATTGCATAATAATGTTTACAATACATTTTATGTATTAAACAAATGTCTGCTAGAAGGTTATTTCTACCTAATAACCCCAATAATAAATTTTATTATAACCAATTCATGTATTCATCTTCGTATCGCGAAGAGCTACTGTATGTGAAGAGTGTCAGTGTGTGTACTACAGTACCAAGAAGTCACTCTAATGCTCGCACCTAATGCATACGCACAGTAATCTCTAAGCAACCGGCCACTGCAACCAGCAGTTTGATTTGTGAATATACAGTATATCAACTGCTCTACAACCAGCAGTTTGATTAAAGGACCATAGAAAAGGTGATGGAAGTCACAACTAACTTATAAAGCAATTATAGTCAATCAAAACCAGCAGTTTGATTAAAGGACCATAGAAAAGGTGATGGACGTCACAACTGACTTACAGTATATTAAAATTATGGTCAATCAGTTGAATCACTATACGAAATAGAAGTCTTGAGAGCCATTAATTATTTCCTTCAAAAATTGCCTTTAGCCCTGCTTCGGTTTCTACAGTATAGTGTACTCAAAACCAACTATGAAGTGCATTAAGTATCTGATAGGTAGATAAATGAGTTCCTGTGTTATGTTACCAAAGACCAACCAATTATCAAATAATATTGACTATGAAACATCCACAAAGCATGTGAACAGGCATTTGACCAAGAGGGAGTGTTCTTGCTTCCCCGGTTTAATTGTAGTCAAGCACATGGCTCCTTTAATAATCCTTGCATGAAGGAGTTATGAGAAGTTTAGCTGATATTGAAAAGTGAGTTTATTTGACGGCCCAAAAACCTTAGTTTTTATAGCAAGATTATCAGTCATCTCGTATTTTAATAAAGGCGACACATTTCAAACCCAAATCAATTCTTTTTACTTGTGTTAACAGATGAACAATCATTTACAATATGTAATTTGTTTCCTGTATCTTTCTGTGGTGTAGAACAAAGGATATGCAATAGGTAATATGCCTGATCTTGCCAAGATCCACAACAGGCATGCAAACCCAGAGCCACGTCACTTACCAGAGAAACAAACGGGGATGTCAGCAGTACGCACAAAAGAGACGTTTCACTTTGTAAGCTATCTGCCGATTGGTGACCGTTTGTACGAGCTCGACGGTCTTAAGCCATATCCAATTGATCATGGTGAGTCCCACTGCATATTACTCTTGTTAAAAGCGCACTTAAAAGACTTTTGCCCTTTTGTCAGACCTTTTAAGAGGGAAGTTACTTTGAGAGAGTATACTATAAGACAAGTGTGCAAAGGACTACATATAGGTACTGTATATATCTGTTGCGCGAAAATTGCTTAGTTTAAAAAAATACACTTTTGTCATCTCAATACCTGATTGTTAATTTATATTTATGTTAGATAGTTCTGTTCTGTATATACTGCAAATATGGTATATGTGTTAATATAAAAATTATATTTTGACTAACTTGACAGTTGTCTTGTAAGATTGCTAGCATTAGACAATAGTCTTATATTCTTTCAGGAGCAATTACTGATGGGGAAGATTGGACAGAAAAATTTAGGAAAGTCATTGCAGAAAGACTAGATAGTGGAGGGTATGAAAAATGGCCTTTGACTTTGTCATTATGTTGTTGATGCTGGTGATGTTAATGTGAATGATGGTGATAATTCTGGTGAAGTGGATGATGTGCTGATGATGATAATGTTTTTGAGGTAATGATGTTGGTGATGGTAATGTAAATCAAACATTTTTGAAAGGGCCGCGAGGCCGTCTGCAAATAAAAAAAAAATAATAACAAAGAGACGTTTCATCATGGAGAAAATAGTTTTTAATAAAGCTGCTTCATTGTTACAGCGAATGCATCGCTTGCACACACTGCTAAACTGCCAGATGATGCGTGCTATTTGATTTATAAGCGGTTTTTGTGTCTATGCCCCCTCGGGAGCTAGACACTATGTTATAGTCTAGTATTAACCCTGTAAGATCAACTAAATCCGGTATGGAGGAATGATGGGATAAGTCACGAGCTAAAGATAAAATAAATATAAGACCTGTCATAGAAAGATCACTACACAACTCCACACATTTCTTGATAACCGAATGCCCATCTGGATACTTTATTACTAAACATAATACCTGTTTTTGGAAGGAGAAAGCTATGACGTGAGTGGCTGAACCGTGTTTGGTTGAATCATGGTAGAAAAAAAACCAATCAACAATTGTTGGGGGGGGGGGCACAAATGTACAGTATTATTTATTTAATAAAATAATATTTAATTTGCATACAATGAAACTGAGAGAACAGATAATGATGTTAAAATATTTTATATACATGGAGGCATAATCAAAGTTCTTGCCTGTATTTGTTATGCTGGTCCCTGGCGCAACTGGGCTGCTGGGCCGCGGCTAGTTGCCTGGAATCATAAATAGGCTGTGAAGTAAAAAGTTTGCGGAGCGCTGATGTAAATGATGGTGATGATTCTAGTGAAGTGGATGATGTACTGATGATGGTAATGTTTTTGAGGTAATGATGCTGGTAATGGTAATGCGGATGATGGTGATAATTCTGGTGAAGTGGATGATGTGCTGATGATGGTAATATTTTTTAGGTAATATGTTGGTGATGTTAATGTGAATGATGGTGATAATTCTGGTGAAGTGGATGATGTGCTGATGATGGTAATTTTTTTGATGTAATATGTTGGTGATGTTAATGTGAATGATGGTGATGATTCTGGTGAAGTGGATGATGTGCTGATGATGGTAATGTTTTTGAGGTAATATGTCGGTGATGTTAATGTGAATGATGGGGATGATTCTGGTGAAGTGGATGATGTGCTGATGATGGTAATGTTTTTGAGGTAATAATGCTGGTGATGGTAATGTTGATGATGGTGATGATTCTGGTGAAGCAGTGATAATGTGTTTTTGAGGTAATGATGCTGGTGATGGTAATGTGGATGACAATGATGATTCTGGTGAAGTAGATAATGTACTGATGAGGGTAATGTTTTTGAGGTACAGTAAAGATGTTGGTTATGGTGAAGGTGATGATGTGCTGATGATGATAATTCTGGTTAAGATGCTGTGCTTATGATGATAATGATGCTGTGATAAAGAATACATAGATCAGATATGTGAATCAAGTGATGATCAAACAATGATCTTTGATAATTAGTAAAAACAGCCTTATAATATTTTTATTATTTTATTGTTATTTGCATTTTCTCGGTTAATTTCTTTTTAAAGTGCATAAGGGCAATGTGCAATATGCACTATATAAATATAACCATTATTATTATTATTATTATTATTATTATTATTATTACTAATTATATATTACATGTCAGTAAAAGCACAAAAGGAAAACAACATACAGCTGTATAACCAATAATTAACCCACAGCAAAATAATGTAATGTAGTAACACTGTTGTAGTGCATAGCATCAAATCTTCACCATCATCATTATCTTTGTCTACATCACCATTATCAACGTCCTCATCATAAATGACATCATCACTTAAAATGTCTGTGCAATGAGCCACCATTAAAGTACTAGTGACATTTATGATGATGATTATGACAATGGCAGTGTAGTGAGAGAAAGGGTTACTATGGCAATGGCAGTGATTTCAGTGATGGTGATTATAGTGATGGTGAAACTGATGTTGTCAGGCCCATATCAGGTCTTGGTATCACTGTGCCAACCGTCAATTATTTGGATCTTTGGCTGGGCGCCAACAGTTGTGAAGCACCCCCTCCAAGTGTATACAAGACCAGAGCCCAGATATGCATATAATTTTCATAAAATGTGTTAAAATTAAATTCAATCATTATAATACAGATTTCATTAATAATAAAAATTAACAGAGTGTTTAATTTTTGATTTTTTAAATGGTAGTTGTGACATCCGATTTAACCTGATGGCAGTGGTAGGAGACAGACGGCAAGCTTATGAACAGAAGCTCATCACCCTGGGAACCAACAGACAGATAATTCTAGAGGCTTTGCAGCAGGTAGTCAGCATTTTATATTATTTTTATTAATTCATGTAATTGAAAATATTTTTATACCATATTTATTTAATTAAACCCCCCCCCCTTGAATGAACACTCCCTCTAGAGCCTCAATTGGAATAAACTCCTCCCTCAAATAAATATCCCGAGGCGTTTATTTTTTCCTAAAATAAACGCCCCACTAAGTGACTGTAAACAAATCTAAAGGAAGCAACATCATTTTTAACACATTCTATTAATGTTCTACTCTGGTAGATTAACATTTTTGCTAACGTCATTGGGATTAATAAGTATTTATGATCACGCAGTAACACATTTTGACAGTAAATTTGTTGTAGTTCCACATATACAGTGAAATTAAGGGGCTATTATTTGAGTATGTACATTATCAATTTATACACCAATAAATATGAACTCCTCCCTCGATTAAACATCCTCACAAAAAAAAAATAAATATGGTATTTCTTTCAAGTGAACAAAGGTTTAACTAAAGGTAGACTTATTACAAAACTGAAAATCTATTGTGATAATTGTATTTTTTAAATATGTAAAATGAAACTTTATTTTGTACTTGTCCACATCTATGAATAGTTTTTTTTTTCTATATGGAGATCGTCTTGACTGATATTTTTTTTATATCACCTAGATAATCCTGCCTCATTGAATTACGTTCTTGGTTTCATAGCACAGACGGGCAAATTGCAGCCCGCGTGGCCCTCCAGTGATTTTTTTTTGCGGCCCTCGAAAATGAATTACAAACCCTCTGTGTGCAGCCTGCCACCCATTTTTTGGCTAGTAAACACCTTGTTTTTTACGGCCCCGCACCGATCATAAAAAGTAATAGTAAAACTGAGCACTGAGCATAAGGTGGCAATAAAACAGTGTATGAAGCTTTTTGGAAATGCACAGAAACATCAAAGTTTGGGTGCAGCCCTTGGAGTTGAATAAAAAATTCACTATGGCCCTCCGACCAATTTAAATGCTTGCCCCAGTTTTATAGTGTATTTTCAAGGCAACTAATAAATGTCACGCTATATGTTTGATATATGATAATCATCAGGCCTTCACCAAGATATAAGTTAAAGTAGGAGAGTCAGACCCAGAGAGTCACAAGATAGTATAATACATACTCCAAGTATTGAAATGCATGCCACTGTGTCGGGATTCAATATTTCGACATTAATTATGACATCATTAAAGGGTCACAGTGCTTGTAGTAATGGGGGTATTAACATATGTTTGACTTTTTTAGTTAGTAAGGGCTACCCAGCCTCATTTAACATCTCAAAGAAGCCCGGGAAGAGGTCATAATTCCAGAGGTACAAGTGCAAAGCAAACAAAAGTGGAACAGCCTGTAGAACAGGCTTATAAAACTGAAGGTCAATTGAAAATAGGGGTTTGTCATGAAAAAAGCCCCTCAACTCCAAAAAAGAAGAAAAAAAGGAAATTGGAAAAAGAGAAACCAGTCGTGCTACCAGTGATCTACAAGTAAGGAAAAAAAAACCCATATTACCAAATATATAATCTTTACAGCACCTCTCCTTTTGCAGCACATCTGTTTTTCAGCACCTCTCTTTTACATCACCTCTCTTTTACATCACCTCTCTTTTACATCACCTGTCCTTTACAGCACATCTCTCTTACGGGACCTCCCTTTTACAGCACCTCTCTTTTACAGCAACAACCAAAAGAACATCAGAAGCTTAACGACTATTCCATTGGTAGAACATTTTTCTGGCCTTGAAGAAATACAGAAATATTAGTATTGTTATAATTACTATGCATTTTTTTTTTAAAGATTGCCAGCAGCTTTAGATTCTCATAACTATGCAAAATCACCAATGTCAGAGACCAACCAAACAGATTCCGATGAAATAGAATGTCTTGGAGAGGATACAGATTCAGACAACAGTGACATAGACAGTACCCAACAGGTTGCCTCTGCTCCAATGATTGTTTTAGAACACAGTCAACAAAAAACAGATTCAGTGGATCATCTATTAACTGTTGCATCACCTGATAAGTCAGTTAAAATGGACAATGAGCGGAAAATACCCTCTGTAACATTCAAAATTGATCAAGATGCTAAACGTGAAACAGATGAACATAGTAATTTATTAAGGCCTTTGTCTGTGCAGACCTCATTTCCTCTGAACGTTCCATCACCGTCCTCAAGTAATTATAGCACCGACACAGCATCAGAGGTCGGAAGTGCATTTAATTCTCCGCTGCGTTCGACAAACCACTCAAGATCCTGTAGTCCTGATTCACTGAAAGTGATCAAATTCCAGCAGTGGAAGGCAGGAGTTAACCAGGATGGATATCAACCGTCAACATCATCGTCCAAACTGTTTGGATCCAGCTTAACAAAAGATGGAGAGGATCCGCGGAAAATAGATGAACTGAAGCGACTTGCTGCGGCGCTCGATGACACACACTTCACCGATAAAAGATCTGTACTTCAGTTGCACTCTGAAGCGGTTACAAAGGCAAAACTCCTTGATGCAAGGACAGGAAATAATGAATGTGAGTCTGGAAAGAAGCCTATACCATCACCAAGTTCACCAGCAAGCTATCCATTTTCTCCAAAAGTAAGTGGACAAGCAACACCTATTTGTTTATCCTTTTTTTGCCTCGGTTTATGTCTCTAATTAATAATAATAATAATAATAATAATAATAGTGTAGTTTTATTTACCATAAGATGGTAATTGTGCCTGACAATGACTTAAAAAGGAATGAAATTTGGTCCTTTTACACAGAAGGATTTCAAGATGGCATTGAGCAATCTACCTAGGTCACATGACTTGTGTTGATAGCAGTAGTTCACATAAGTGATCAACTCCGACAAAAAAGGCGTTTGTTGTCAATAATTAAAATCTTCAAATCAGCTAAGATTTCCATGTATTGACCATCCTAATGCATGTTGGACTGAAAATATATATTGTCATATCATCACCATTTGTTATGTTTAACAATTTTTGCATCAATTATTCTCTTATTATTACATTATTAGATCTTTGTAATCTATATTTCAAAAGCTAATAATTGATGCAAAAATTGTAATTATTATTATTTTAATTATTGACTGTTTAGCTGAGGGTGGGTCACATGTAGATATGTTGGTAAACTCATATTTCCATTTTTGCATAATCAAAGGATGAATATGTATCACCCTAAACTATCTTATATATTTCAGACTGATATGTTCAGTAAAAATTCTTTGTATTCTTTTTATTTTAAAGGATTTATTAGCTCTTTTGAAAAATGTAGAAGCAGAGATTACAACAACAGAACAAAATCTAAAAGATGAATTGGAAAAACGAAAGAAATACAAGGTAATGTAAATATACAGTATTTTGTGCAGTTATTGCAGTGTTTTTCTATGGTTGTAGGCGTGCAGCACAGTGGTTGTGAAGCTTGTGTACAATGAAGAAATAGTTAATGTGCAGTTTATGTACATATGTTTAGTAATAATAATAATAGTTCATTCTTATATAGCACAAGTAAGCAAGTTGTCAAATGCAATGTATATAAAAAACAGAATAAATATATCTTAATGAAAAACTTGATGGAAAGAAAGGTCTTTAGCTTAGTTTTAAAAGAGTTTTATTTTCTCCATGGTTAAACACTGTCTGATAGAGATTGGTATGGAGTTCCACAAAGTTGCAGCTGCGACCGCAAAAGGAAAAGAAAGTCTTTGGGACAAAGAGCTGATGATCAAAGCTGATGATTGCTTTGATTGATTGATGGATGAATTGATTGGTAGATTAATTCATTCATGGATTGATATGCAGTGGTTGTAAAGCAGATGTAGAGTTGATGTAAAGTGACGATTTTATAGCTAAACTTAGTGCACTTGACTCCTAATCCAATGAACAATACAAATAAAGAAGTAAATCCATAGGTACAGGTAAATTGTCTTTAGAAATTGTTTTTTCAAAGGATTTTTAAAAATAAAATTCTGTTTATTGAAAGGATGTACAATGGGTATGTATAGATGTGAGGTAAATTTATAATGCTTATCTAGTACTTTGTGGATTTACAACACAATTGTTTGTACTGTTGAAGTACCAAAACTTTGTCATACAGCTAAGGTATTGTGTTGTAAATTTGGTTTCTATATTTTTAGATTGATGATGCCCGAAGAGTACACAACTACGATCCATTTATTTGCACATTCTTATCCATGTTAGCAGAGCAGAATAAGTTGCAAAGCCTTGTTGAACAGCACACCTTAGTCAAGAAAAGACAAGGATGCAGCCTAGGAAGACTACACAAGAGGAAGGCTGACAGAAGGCGGAGATCACAAAGCAGGAGCAAACCAAAGAAAAAGAGATGATGCTATGGAGTAGGATGATGCAGCAGTGAGATGATAGGAGGATAGTATTAAGGATACGATGATAATGGTGCTTAGGGTGGTGGAGCCAGGAATTTCCTGACGAGGGGTCCAAGCTTTCTGACAAGGGGGTCCAAGCTCCCGACAAAAAATCCCCCTGTCGGGATACTAGTCCTGTGGGGGAAATGCTGGCGCCACCACTGCAACCCATACAATTGTAATAGTTAACACCTTGCACATACTGTAGCACTGATCGAGCTAAACGGTTTTTATTCCTTTAATTGAGAGCTTAGTAAGGCATTCTTGAATTGTATTTTTCCCTGACAAGCTTTCTTTAAATACCCCAACTGGTGGTCCCCGACAAGGAGCCCTTTGCTATCCCCAAACTCCCGCTAGAGCCGCTCCTGATGATGCTGGAGAAGGTAATTACGATATCCACACCTACACAACAGATGATAGGACGATGATATTGTTTTGAAAATATAATGAAAACATATAGCAAAATTATTTACCAACATTAAATCAAGCACAATTGAAATGAAGTATTTAGCAAAACCTATGTAATATCTTGCAGAATGTCTGTAGAAGACCAATATGCAAAAAAAGTATGTGATAGACATTAGGTAATGCAATCAGGTGGTAATGGGGAAATACTGTGAGAAACTCTTAATGGAAAGTCAAAAACCCATTAAAGAAATAGAATTTCTTATCAAAAATATGAGAAAATAGATAATCAATTTTTTATTCAAGTGTCTTTATTATCAACCGTTTTACCAGCCTATGTAAAGACAATAGTGTTGTAAAATTCTTCATAACAAAATAGGAACAGTATACCTATTTATACAAATGAACTCCCAAATGTGTATTACTGGTGTTCAGGGTTTAAGAAGATGTTTTAAAGGCAGGTTGTTATTTTGTATGTACAATGAATATGTGTATACGGTATTCAAAAAATTGTCCCTCTTGAGAACCAAATTATTGTCAAGAATGTATTCTATGGTCATGATTTCAGTTTAGCAATAATTTAATTCCAGTAGTAAAACATTTGTGATTGGAAATGGAAATTTCATTTATTTGGTATAAAGCATAAAAATATATATGTTGAAACTTGCAGTACACCACGTTAGTGGTTCTGAAACGAACTGTTGTAGTCTCGACGTTTCGATTGAGTTGCTTCAATCGTCTTCATGAGAATAATATAATTATTCGCTTCGCCATGCAAACCTTTAAACAATATTAAGCATAAAAATGTTGAAAATTATCAGAATTTACCATACAAATGGAAAAAAAATACAAGATATCAACTTAAGTGAACATCAATTAATATCACAAGAAAATTCAAATTAAATAATCAAAATACAATGCAGTATAAGAATAATAAATTTAATTATTGGAGTAGGCTCATATACAGCATTTAATAAGTTTAGAATTATGAAAATGACCATGGAAATCAACTTCCTTAGTGCCCTTTCACTCAATTAAAATCCTCTCAAAGACACTTTCTTAGGGCGGATTGTTGAATATGTTGTTTTCATTACTTTTGTTAAGTCATTTGGCATTTATTAGTGAGTGTTTACTGTAAATGACACTTTGGACGATCTATTTTTGTCTGTTTTGTTTAAGCATCTAGTATGGTTGGTTATGAAATCCAGCAGGATGTTTTAAACTAAATTGGATTTTATTCAATTATG